ATATTCATACAAACAATCACGTGTTCAAGATTTTAGACAAGCACAAACATAAAATGTATGATTGTAGATATACACAAACATTTATTGTTTATATACGCGGACAAAAAAGATCTTTAAATGTACTGGAAGGAGTTGTGAGACAAATATACGAACGTGGACTGCAATGTAGAGGGATGGCGAGAAAATATATAAATATAACAAAGTATTTGTATGTGTATATATGTATCTAATAATAAATAAACGACCTTTATTGTACAAACACACACACACACACACAAATAATAAAACATATATACAGATATATATATATATATATAATATATATATGTATATATATATACATATGTATATATATATAGATATATAGATATATAGATATATATATATATATATATATATATACATTCATACATCTACGCATACATACATACATACATAGGAACTCGGAATCCCAAAATGATAAAAACATAGTCCTATAAATATAAAACCGAAATAAGTACGCGGCAAATACCTACCGCCATGTGATTTCTGGTACGTTCTGATTGGATGGGGTGACGCGTGCGTACTCCCTTGAACCGCCCTTGTTCTGTTCCGCTGACTGAGTCCAGATAAGAAAATAGTCAGGAAAATAGTTGGGAAATAATTAAGAAACTAATTAAGAAACCAATTATGGAACTAATTATGAAAATAGTTAAACGCCACCTGCAAACAAGCTATGTGGTAGTCGTACAGGGGTTAAGCCCTGGCTAAGCTCGTAAAACAAAGAAGTTGGTAACGGATTCAAACTATTTGCTATTGGACATTGTTTTCCTTTTCTGGTATACCTCGCGAGCAAATATAGATCTCAAATGAGCGCTGACAATAAAGAGGTCGTTGATAATCAGACGCCAAATACGCAAAATCTACTTTGGTAGTGGTAGGGGGTTTAAACCCTACGCAAACCTTAGAACGCTAAACCCTAAAGTAGCCCAGAATATGTGCAGTACGGATGGAATTGACTGTTGATAGTCAAACGCCAATTATTAAACAATTCATTTGGTAGTCGTATAGTGAGTCACGTTTACGTCTATCAAAACGTTACATCCCAGATGTACCACCGTCTGATACATTGACGAGTAACTCGTAGCGGATGTATATATCATACGCTATGCGATTGACTACATAAACGTTAACACTTGATACCCAAAACCCAAACAGTATGCTGCACATGTGAATTACATACTCATCATCACACACATACACCATAGACTCATACATACACACACGCAGTATAGACACGTGTAAACACACATACACTATAGACAAGTAAATACACACATACACTATAGACAAGTGTATACACACATATACTATAGACAAAAACATACACACATACACTATAGACAAGTACATACACACATACACTATAGACTCTTGTATATACACATACACTATAGACAAGTACATACACACATACACTATAGACAAGTACAAATACACATAAACTACAGACACGTACATAGACACATACACTATAGACTCATACACAAACACATACACCACAGATAAGTACATACACACTTACACTATAGCGTATATACACATACCCACTATAGAACACACACCTGATATCCAAACAGCATGCTATACTTGTAGAACACACACCTGATACCCAAACAGCATGCTATACTTGTGGTCGCCTATGTCCTCACAGCGGAAGAAGTACGGCACAATCAAGCTCTGCTGTGGCCGCAGAAACTCATCCGTATCGTCCATGAGGTCGATAATTCCCTTATCCAGCGCACTGTTACTGTACACAACGTCCTGCAGAGGCGAACTGTATGCACACACACGCATCAATGAGTATTGCGCTTATACGCGTGAATGAGTATTGTACCTATACGCGTGAATGAATATTGCACATATAGGCGTCAATGAGTACTCCTGTCTGTCATTGTACCCATGCAGAAGGAAGGATGTGTGCGTGAGGAATTGGCTCGGCGGAAGTTTCTTTTTCTGAGTCACAGTGTGTGCATGTGTGGGGATGTAGGCGCGTATGTATGTATGTATGTATGTATGTATGTATGCATGTATGTATGTATGTATGTATGTATATATGTATGAATGTATATATATATATGTATGTATGCATTTATATACGCATGCATGCATGCATGTATGTATGTATGTATGTATGTATGCATGCATGTATGTATGTATATATGTATGTATAAATGTATGTGTGTACGTATGTACGTACCTATATTGCTCACCTCTACAGCACACACGAAGATATCTGCGACTATAAATAAGACAAGCACACACACCACGCATATCAACTAGACACTCACCAATACAATACATGGAAATATATCTTAGACTAAAAATAATACGAGCAAACACTCCACACACATCAGATAGAGATAGACATCAAATAGACACTCACCAATACAACACATGCAACGATATCTCAGATTATAAATATACAAGCATACACTCCACGCATATCAAATAAACACTCACCAATACAACACATGCAACGATATCCAAATTATAAATATACAAGCATACACTCCACGTATATCAAATATACACTCACCAATACACAACACATGTGAAGATATCTTCGACCATAAATAATACAAGCATACACTCCACGTATATCAAATAGACACTCACCAATACAACACATGGAACGATATCTTAGACCATAAATAATACGAGCATATACTCTCCACGCATATCAAATAGACACTCACCAATACAACACAAGCATGCACTCCACACACATCAAATACACTCACCTGCCCTGTGCTGGTAGTGGGGTGGTTTTCTCTTCGAGTATTTGGGGTGGTTTTTCATGCAGTGGATCTGTTACGGCTGAGGGGTCCACTGTGGACGTGTGGTAGTTAAGTATGAGACGAAGAGTGTGAGTATGTATTTTATATAAATATACAGACATATACAGACATACAGACACACCGACACACATACACAGACACAGACACAGACACAGACACCGATATATATATATATATATATACATATATACATATATACATATATACATATATATATATATACATACACACACATATATATATATATAGATATATATTTATATATAGATATAATATACATATATATTTATATATTGCGTACCTTGAGGTGCAGGCGGTGATCATCACCGTAAGTAGTGGACATGCGTTGATGTTTGGTGTCGTTCATGCGTTTGCCGCGTATATTAAATTTGCGCACACCCCTGACCGTCCCATTGATGTCATACTCCAGCCCTTCAATCACCAAGTTGCCCTGCATATATATAAATATAGATATAAAATAAATATAAAATAAATATAGTACATACATACATACATATATACATACATGCACACACACACACACACACACACACATAAATATGTATATACATTTACATATACACACACACAAACATATATATATATATATAGAGTAACTTATATAGTTCACAAACGGTTTAAAGTGAAATAGCGCTATACTTTATATCATCAAAGTAGTGTAATAGCTTACAAGATCATGAGGACTGATCAACCCATAACCTCGTCTTATATAGTCTTAACTAGATATTGCCCTTCATCCGTCCCCTCTGGTCACTGACACAACATCCCCCCGAGTGCCCGGTCTATTCTGCAGTCCACTTCTCGTTACCTATATATCTTACACTTCACTACACGTCTCACTACCTTACAGCGTATGCTCTTGTGCTATAGGTCTCCACACAGCGAATCAGCTATGTGTATGAAAGCACTATCAAACGACCAACAACGCTGTTCCTTCCCCCTAAAAGTACCCCCTCCTACACCCGAGTCATCAAGCATGACTTACTACTACACGTGGACAACACACACATTACAATATAGATATAGACATAACACATATACATATTAGTGAACAAAGTATGTGTGCATATACACTGATATATGTATGTACTATGTTTAAGTAATATAGTACGTACGAGTATATGTATGCTTGTAACACATTCTTGTATATAATTAATATTTAGATAATATAGTATGTACGAGTATATGTATGCTTGAATGTTTAGGTAATACAGTATGTACGAGTATATGTACGCTTGTACCACATTCACCCATACATGTAAATATATATATGTACATATATATTTAGGGTTTAAGGTTTAGAGTTCATATATGTATTTAATTCACCTCGTTACCTTACACTCTCCATCCCCAGTACACACTATCACACACACACACACAGCCATCCCACCCCAGCCTACGCACCGACCACCCACCCAGACAGACTTAACACAGAAACACAAATACACTCAATACACCACCCACCCACACAGACCTAACACAGAAACAACGATACACTCACTATAGACACCTTACACAGACCTAACATATAAACAACCCCTACACACCCCTACACAGACAAAACACAGAAACACAGATACACTCAATATAGACACCTTACTCAGACCTAACATATACACAACCCCTACACACCCCCACACAGACATAACACAGAAACAAAGATACACTCAATACACCACCCACCCACACAGACACAACACAGAAACACAGATACA